GGCGTCTGACTTGTATGTCACGTTTGTGTACAATGGTATATTCTTTAAATAGTGTTGATAACTGGAATATCGTATGTATGCTTGGAGATGCTTTGTGTGAACCTAAGACTGTCGCGCAACAGATGTCGGATTGGGGAAAATCCAAAGCACAACTTCGAAATAAAATACGTTTTTAGGTTTCGATGCTGCAGTTCGTATCTCTTCTCTACTGCCTGAAATCTCCAATCCAGGAGTCCAGCTATCCAGGAGGGATTTTGATTCGTCTGTGGTAACAGAGCCCTGCCTGGCAACAGAACAATAAATTAGGTGCTGCTGGGAGCCAGCCACCTCTCCCTCCCCCGCCCAGGCACGGCACATGGACGGTTAGAAGGTGGATTTTTCCCCCCCTAGCATTTCTGTTTAGACCATGTGTGGAACCGGAGAGGTTGTGTAGAAAGTCTTCCAGCTCTCCATTGGGCAGTCTGTTGCCATGAGAACCGTTTCCTCCACAGAATCCTCCTCCTCTGTTTTCAATGAGGACTGTTCTCATTTCTATCCCCAGTCAGATTTCCCTGCTTGGAAGAGTGGGGCCTGTGAATTTGCTTGGAAGTTTTGCCAGCAACAACCAAGGGTGACTGAAGGTTTTAGTTCTTCTACGACCAAAGCCCTGAGTCTTTGTGCCCTTGGCAGCCCCCTGCCTCTGGGAGAAGAGCTGACCCATATGCTTGTGCTGTCAGGGGTAGGAGGGGGTGGTGCATACAGAAATGCTTTCTTTCCTTTAGATATTGATTCCAGCAGATCATAATTTCAAAGGTGAGGTTTTTCAAAGATAACGAATGCATCCTCAAGCTCCTAGGGCCCACAATTAGGTTTAGTGGGCTTATTCTAATACCAGAAGCCCCTGCGGATGGATGAAATCTCTAGTGTCCGAGGGAGTGCCCAGTGTTCAACAGTAATACAAGGAGTTCTACCCTAGACTAGACACGTTGCAGGTCTAAGGTTTATCCTATGAGGTTATTTATAGCTTTTATTCAGCTCTCTCATGGACTTCCAATCTGCCACCTTTCCCTCACGCTCACTTGCATGGTAGAGCTACATCTTGAGCTTCTCTTGCTAGTCCCTTGATCTTAACTGTCCTACTACCCTGTGCTATGGATGAGTTTCCACTCCTGAGTATAGGTGGTGAGCTGTGAGGTGGAGCTAGTTCTTAAGCTGTGAGCAAAGGACCAAAGAGTTTTTTCAGAGTCCTAAGGCAAGGGTGGACTATTCTTTTAGGATCCTCAATTCATTTCACATGTTCCGATGGGAGCTTGATGGAAACTTGTGACAATAAACACAGTCGAAACACAGATCTATTCCATCCAGATAAAAACCAAAAAAGGAGACCAGTGGGGTATGAATTAGGAAATGGTCTTTGTGATGAGCTCATCGAAATGTTTATGGCCATAGGCATATGAAGCTTCCTTTTATCCAAGAGTCAGCAACACTGGTATATTACATATGCCAAAGACTTGTTCATTAGTCAGTTAACAAACTTTAAGCTTCACGGTGTGCCAAACACTGTCACGCAAAATTGAACAGGAGAAATAGATAATGGAGCTCTCTAGTTTCAAGAGAGAACAGATAAATAAGCAAAATAAGTGTTACTGTAAAAATGAAACAATATGGTCAAGAACGGCCATGGTGCAGGGAAGTAGTACAGTTAATCAAGAATTCTGTCTGACCTGGTAAAGTAGAGATGACTATTTCTCATCCAAGTGGAAATAGCAAATAGACTCTTATGAATACGAAGTTTTAGGGACAGATCATACCCAAAAACAAATTTAGGAGGTATTACGTTATAGATGTATTCGAACTACGAGATTTCCAGGAATAATATATAAATAGAAAAAAGAGAAGGTATCAGTAATTAGAAATCCTGCAGAGAAGGAGCCAGAAAAGAAGATAGAGTGGGTGAGAGGTAGGTGGCTGGGAGAGCAGCAGCAGAAACCAGGAGAGGTGTTTCCACAAGGAGGGAGGGACCAGCTGTCAAAAGCTGGTGGGGTAAAATGAGGCCTTAGAAAGGTAATCATTGGTGACTTGGACAAGAGCACTTCAGTAGAGAGGAAAATGAGTCCGATTGGAGTGGGTTAGGCAGCAAATGGAAAAAGAAGCAGGAGTCAGGAACTCTTGGCAGCTCATTCAAAGGTGTTGCTTTGAATGGGAAGCATCAGAAGGGGTCAAGGGCCCAGGTTTTTGTTTTTGAAATGGACGATGTGGATT